TCTCTCTCTCTCTCTCTCTCTCTCTCTCTCTCTCTCTCTCTCTCTCTCTCTCTCTCTCCATGTATATATATATATGACTATGCTTGAGATCTGGATGCTTTCACTGCATGCGGCTTGTCAATTCTTGAGCAATTTGTGCTGTGTCTTCTCCTTAGCGCGTTCCTTTGTACTTGTATCACCATTACAATTTGGCACCTTGTGTCATAGGCCAGGAACCAAGGCAGGCAATGTGTATGGCATCATGCACATTGGAGATGTTCAGCGACCGTGGTGTCCTTTGGAAGCTCTTTGTGTGTTTGTGCCTCTGAAGTTTTCAAACCCTTCGATTTGGCGCCATGTGTCATAGCCTAGGGAACTAAGGAAAAAGGCGGGAACTAAGCAGAAAGGCGATGTGTATGTGATGATGTGCACTGGAGATTTTCAGCGATCGTGATGTCCTTCAGAAGTTCTTTGTGTGTTTGTACCTCTGAAGTTTCTAATGTGTATACGATGAAGTTTCTAATGTGTATATGATGAAGTTTCTGATGTGTATATGGTGAAGTTTCCAATGTGTATATGATGACTTGCTGAAGCTATCGTTGTCCTTTGGGATCTCTTTTGTCCTTTTCTTTTGTAAGGTCTTCAGTGTTTGCTCCATGCCAATTTGTGGCTGATCGCATTTTATTTTTGTATTGTCCTAGTGGTGCTAGTGCAAGACCTGTGGCGTATCCTGTCACGGCCTCGCCATTTGTACCCCATCTTCCCTGTCTCTGTTTTGTGACACGGATTCACAATATAATATATGACTACATATCCCTAGTCCCCGCTACCTCTAACCTCTTTTTTTTTTCTTTTTCTTTTTTTTTCAAGTGCTCCTGAAGCGAAGTTACCTCGAGCACAGACTCTAAAAGTTTTGTGCCTGCTGGAAAGAGCAGGGAGCGGGAACGTTGGCAGGCATTTGGGTGAGTATGTCCTGCTGGATGTCCCCCACGTAGGGGCTCATGGGTGAATAGGCTGCGGAAATCCCATCAGGCCTGCTAAACACAAGGGCTGGTGGAGCATTAGGCAGGCTTCCGTGAAGCTCGATGGGTAGAAAGGACCTGCACGGAGAGAGAGCGGGAGGGAGAGAGAGAAAGAGAGAGAGAGGGAGAGAGAAGTATGAACGTTGTCGAGGTGGATCATTATCATTCTCATCTCTATCTCTACGCTCTTAGAGAAAAGAGCAGGGTCTTGTGTGGCGGTCACACACGAGACACCGCTGCCGGACTTGGGAAAATGTTGGGGGAGCGACGAGCCCGATGAGATATCTGGCGGCCCCCCAAAATATCAGACGAATCTTTTTTTTTTTTTTTTTTTTAAATAAACCCCACTGGTGCTAGGGGTGCTGGCAAGGGCAGGCACCGCTAGCACCTAGGGGGGGCCTCCATCTATTGGTGGGGAGCAACACCTGCTTGCTGGAAAACGGGTCCAGCGTCCCTTGTAACAAAATGAAATTGGAGAGAATCAGAAAACGCCTGCCAGCATTGATTGCTCTGGATTCCAGAGGATTAACTGAGCAGGGGAGTGAACCTCTTCGCCCTGTTACAGGCGCCAAATACCTGCTTTTACACCCTAGATCCTCCCTCCCCCAGCTATCCTTGCCCCCAGTCGTTTGATATACAAAAATTATCCTTTGTAGCTGCCCCCTGCTGCTTCTGCCACTTCTGAATACCTGCGTTAACTATGTGACCCCTCCTCCCTATTCAGACCTTGCTTGGTCCTTCCGGCCTGTGATCCAGGTGGATCAGCTCCGTACCAGTTCATGTCCACCATTGCTAGTCGGTGAGGCGGGAAGGGGTCGGGAAAATCCTTGGCTGGTCTCAGCCGGAACTCCTGGCTTACTGTAGTCCAGTCCTTGAAGCACATATGGTAGTCTCTTCTGAATTCCTCCTGGTTGCACTCTTCGGTGGGCCTGCCGTCCCATCTGACAGAAGTGATCCAGTCCCTATTTTCATTTCTCAACCGGTCCCCGGAGAATGGATGAATTATTTGTGTTATATCCTTTGCAGAGTGAAACAAATCGAGCTGGTTTTGAACTTTTTGCCACTGTATCATAAGTTCTTGCTGAATCTATTGTCTTATCATATCTGTTACCTCCTCCCCCGCTATGCGGACATCCTCAATAGCATGCATACAGCGTTTTCTCCAGAGGGAGCACATGAGTGCTCTCCTCCCCAACTTAAACATATTATTTTCGAAAGTACTATCAGTGGGGGAGGTCCATGTTTTGCATAGTACGGCCCTTTACTCCCATGGCCAGTTGGACCCTGTGCCCAACCGTGCCCGGATCCTGTCCCACCAACGCCATGTAAGAACTGCCCCCGGACACTGCATGAATATGTGCTCTATGGTTTCCGGGATTTTACAGGAGGGGAAGACAGTGTGGCATGCTTTACACCACGGCTGCACCGGTCCCTGCTGCGCTAGATATGTACGGTCTATCAACCGGTCGTTGGTGGGGAGGCAGCGATGCTCTATCTGCCACTGCAACGAGGCCGTCTTTGCTGGCCTAGACCTCGTGGTGGCAAACCATCGGATAGGCCGGACTGTTTCCGTTCCGACATTCAAACGAGACTTCCATCGAGCCTTCACCGTTTCCTTTATGTTCAGCTTTGGTCGCAGCAGATGGTATGCAGCCTTTACCGTTAAGTTATACAGCTTCAGGTTTTCCGTCGACCTGGGTTTTTGTTTCGGAGCCACTGCCAGTCCTCTGGGTCGAGAGGAAGCTCTGCTATGGGGTTTTTTGGCTGGTATGCAATCCATACGTCCTTATCCTGTAGCACACGGACCCTGCACAGTTCCTCATTTTTCCACCATCTCATCACGTCTGGGTTATATCGGTCGAGGACATTTTTCTTGCCTATGTGGAAGAGGTTAACTAGTGTTTCGTCTGATTGTACTTCCACTACGTTGCCCACGCTTTCCGATTCCTCTGGGACATCTACCCAGTCTCCTTCTATCAGCCGCCGTCCTTTGCGCAGGATGCACACCCAGTCTAGGAGAATGGCAAAGATCAACGATTTGAGATTCTCCTCTACATTGTGACAATGCTTTAGTATGGTCTTTTATTGCGGTGTCGCTTTCCAGTCTCTCTGTCTTATGTCCCATATATCCTTTATTCTAGTTATACCCTTTTTGACCCAGTTACACCACGGGGTGGCTGAGCTGCAATACACCCTGCTGTGTCGGTCTGTAATCCACCTGTTCCCAAAAAGGGGCTGACGTATCACCTCCTCCCATCTAGTCGGTGGGGGGCTGCCAGGTAGCGGAAGACTCGGCCCCAGAAATTGTCCCTTACCAAGTCCAGGCGAGAAATTGTCCCTTGCCAAGTCCAGGCGAATTCTGTCTCGGATTGTGTCTCGGTGTGGATCGTGATCTATTCGCAGGCTGCGTGGCACAATCCAGAAACGGTCTTCCAGCCAGATCAATGGGTTTACTCCTTGCGGTGCCTGTGGAGCAAGTCTAGCTATCTATTACAGGGCAAGGGCGGACCATGGGAGATGCTGAGTGAAGAGCAGTCTCCTAATCCATTGAACAGTTAGTGTTGTGATCTGGGTATCCGGGTCTAGGATCCCCAGACCCCTTTTACCTTTGGGTTGGATCACTGAAGACCAGGCCACCCTGCTGATAACATTCGGGAGTTCGCCGTTGCCTCTCCACAGGAGGGCCGTTAGTTGTCGCTTCAGCGACCGGATAGCTTCTTTACTGAGAGTCCAAATTGCAGATTTATACCAAAGAGGCGTTAACACTACGTTGTTGATCGCGAGTGCCCTGCCAATGAGGGAGGTATGTTGGTCTTTCCAGTGAGGCAGCTTTTCTAAAGCGGGTTCAAGGATCCAGTCATCGTTCGACGAGGGCTTACCTAATGCCGTCAGCATGATTCCCAACACTCTGACCGGGGCCCTTTCCGGAAGCCACTTGACTCGTGGTAGCTCCAGGGGACGCACACCTTGGTGGATCCACCACAGCAAGGTTTTGTTTCCGCAGTTGACAGGCATGTCTGAGACTGCTGTGAAGTGGTCAAAGAGTCGTCTGATCTCTTTTATGTTTGCTATGGTGGCGTCGACCACGAGTGTCAAGTCATCCGCAAGCATCGAGCAGATAGAGATCGCATCCTCAGGAATGGCCGAGATTTGCAATTTCCTCAGGTCTTTGTTGGCACAGAGGTTCGCCGCCAATGCTTCCATCACAATTATGAACAGGAAGGGGGCCAAAGGGTCCCCTTGCCGGACCGACCTTTGCAGCGGGAAGGCCGGCGCTGTTCTTCCATTAATCTGGACACACGTGGTGGCGTTATGGTGCAGTATCGCTGTCCAACGCCGGAATATTGGCGCGATGTTCATTTTTTTCATACATTTATCTAGGAATAGCCAGTCCACGTGGTCATATGCTTTTTCGAAGCCGATGAAGACCACGGCCGCATTCCGCTTGTCTTCTCTTGTGAGTTTGAGAAGTTCATTGACTAATAGGATATTATTCTGGATCCTGCGCCCTTTGACAAACCCGGTCTGCATTGGGTGAATAATGTCGTCGAAGACTGGGATCAGTCGGTTTGCAAGGGTTTTTGCTAGTATTTTATAAAGTACCGTAAGCAAGGTTATCGGCCGGTAGTTTCTGATATCCATCTCGTCTCCTTTTTTGTGTAACAAGGTGAGAATGCCCTGCCCCACCAACTCCCCCATCTCCCCTGTTTCCAACACTTGATGGTAGAACTTCATGAGATCCGGGGCCATCTGCGACCAGAAGGTCTCCCAGAATTCTTTGGGAAGTCCATCGATGCCCAGCGTCTTCTCTTCAT